CCCCTTTTTAAGAACACGTTTATACCTTTCCCCAGTAATTTAAATAGCTTTGGCTCCTGTTTAGCTCTTTGATTAGTTATTACATGCTTATTATAAGAATCACCTTTTGAGTGATTTTGATGTTTTGGCCTGTGGCCACACCTCTGTGTCATTTGATTCAGAGAAGGGGAAGCGCCAGAACTCCCCGGCTGTGGCACATCCAGCAGAGGTGCAGGTGAAAACCAGGCCAGTCCAAATGTAGAAGACTTACTGAAGGTAGCAGGAGGAGGACAAAAACCAAGGCAAGTTGTTTTAGATTCAAAAGGAAGTTCACCTTTTGTGGAAGCTGGCTGAGGGCTTTGGCAATCACGTTGCTTTTTTCATCAGTTAGGTTGTAGACCATCGACCCCAGAGAGAATACCACGATGCCGTGTTCCCCTGAGCTCTGAACAAATTCTTCCATTTCCTAGGGGAGACAGAAGACATGCTAAGAGTAGGTGTCATCTGGAGATTGCACAGAATAAACAGGAGGAGCTAGAGATGCGAGCGTGCCTGCAGGGCTGTGATCTTGGCATCACAGAGACATGGTGGGATGGATCGTATGACTAGAGTGTTGGAATGGAAGGATACGGGATGTTTAGGAAGGACAGGCAGGGGAGTTGAGGAGGGAGTGTTGCCCTGTGTCAATGACCAGCTGGAGTGCGTGGAGCTCCACCTGGGGATGGAAGAGGAGCCAATTGAGAGTTCACGTATTGGGAATAAAGAGAGGGCAGGGAGAGGTGGGGGTCTTCTACAGAGCAGATTAGGCTCTCTGTAGACAGATAGGAGCAGCCTCATGTTTGCAAGCCTTAGTCCTCGTGGAGGTCCTCATGGAGTCTCCTTCAATGGTATAATGGGCAGCAAGTCTGTCTCTTAGAATTAAATCTTGCAGTTAAGTGCTCTGAGGTAGCACCTATTTTTCCTAACACAAGCGCTGTATTCCCTCCCGCTGAACACAGCTATCCTCTTTTCAGACAGCAGGCTCTGAGCCCAGAGCTCAGTTTGCACAATACGGGCAGATTGCTAAATAGCTCTGTGCTCCCCACCGGTGGGAGAGCATCTCCTTGAAGAGGGAGCTTTCTCAGGGCATGGCTTGCACGGGCCATGAGGGAGAGGAGCAGTTTTTGTTCTGCTGGGCAATCCCACCCATGGCAGGGACAAAGTCGGGGTACCTTTGGTAACGGCTTGGCAGGCTGGCAGTGGAGTCCTCCAACAAACTCAAAGTTGGGCAGGAAAGGGCGTGGAAATTCAAAGTCCCAGTACGTTCTGATTAACCATATCTCCGCTTTCCCCATCGTCTCACACAGGGTTGTGGGCCTTCCTGTGGACAAGGTACAAGGGGTTTTACGACACACGGATGGCTTGCCTTGCTCTAGATTGCAAAACAGGAGCCTTACCTTTGTCTTTTGGCACTCCCAGTCAGGGTAGTCTATCCAATCGTGCATGAAATGAAAACATGGACAAATTCAGACCTATTCCTTGCCCAGTCCTGTGGCAGGTTGCCACCAACAAGGTAATATGATCTTTAAAAGTGTTTTGAACCTTCGGGATGAATTTAGAGCAGTACAGGAATAAGTGCAAAGCATTAAGTTTCTGTGATACAGAAGCGCAGTTCTTGTACCCCCAAAAGACATCATTACCTGTGCTTGTAATAAAAACACACTTTGAGGAAGAGAAAAAACACAGAAAATTTCAATCTAAATAAAAATAAAAAAAGGAATCACAAAGCGATGAGCACCAGTCAGGGCAGAGGAAAGATTTTGTAAACAAAGTTCTGTGGCATTTTTCAAATGGTGACTCAGTCAGAGGCTGCTCAGATTGCAGTAACAGACAGGTACAGCCATCCCAGGTTCTTCTGGGGACTGGGTCAGCCTCTTCTGACACACAGTGGGAAAATTTGGCCAAATCCATAGATGCTCTGAATGTCATTTAATGCAAAATTAAATGTCTCTAGAAATCCACCTATAGAAAAAAATGCAGTGGGTAAAACCGTGTTATAGATTCCCATTTGGAAAAATACATATTCTCAGGTACATGCTGCAAGTTGTCTTCGCAGTATTTTCCCCACAAAGTGGGACTGGGGAGTAAAAAGGTTGGAAGTGTTGGTAAATGATTGTCCAAAGCCAGCCAATGCAAGCAGTAACCAAGCAAAAGAAGCAGCAGTATAAAAATTATCTGTAGGGCATCTTCTTATACTGCTGCATCAGCATTATGATTTGCACCAGTAATTTTTACTTAATAAGAAATACTCTTTACTAAATAATAACTTTACTAAATTATAGCTAAATAATAATAATACTCTTTACTAAAATAAATAAAGTCAGTTACAAAGTTACTAGAGTGAAAATTAAGCCTGTGTTACCAGTAGAGGGATATAAAGGTGTAATTACGTCTCACGTGGTATTAAAAAAATAAATCCAGGGAAAAGGGAGTGGTTTGCAGAGCACAGAGGTGTCCTTGGGAAATGCAGGAAGAGATTGGAGGACAGCAGGATAGATGTCCTTGCTGCTCACTCGTTATCTGCTTAAACACAGTTATTCTGTATAAAATTCAAAGTCCATTGAGCTGAAAGGTCTCTTTAATAGACTTTGAATCAAGCCTGGATCGTACTTGGTTGGAACAAAAATTTCAGGCGCATATGCAGTTGTAGTAGATTATTTCAAACTCTGAATGGTGGAGGAAGGGGAAAGGTGAGAGTTCTTAGCGTTAATTACTGGAGAATATAAACTCAGCATCCTGTACTACACAGCCTTGCAAGCTGATACCTCCAGATGATGTGTGTAGTGTGAATGAGGGGTGCTTTTTTGCTCTGCAGCTGCCCAGAGACAGCCACTATTTCTAGTCACAACAGGTTTATCTCCATCTCTGTGTTGTCCATGGAGCTGTCTCCAGTGCCTTACATGTAATTAAGGAATGATTTTGCCCTCCAGCCTTTATCTGCTACCATCCTAATTGTAGAAGGGCCTGTCATCAAGATGAAGAGGCAACAACTGTCCTCTGATAGCACTAAAATGGGCGTACAGCTCACTGCAAGTGCTCACCAGCAGGTATCATCATTAACAAAAATTAGAACTATGTGCTCTAAAGGTCCTCAAGAGGAACTAGAGCAAAACTGCACTAGTGTCTGTTAGACAAGACCAAATCCAAAAGGGAAAGCACAGCCTCCATGTGACCAAACCAGGATTACCATCTCTGCTGGCCATTGAGGAAGAGTATTTTGAGACAACAGCATTGAGCTCCCAAAACGTTCAAAAGGTACAACCTATGCAAGAGGAGAAACCACTCAACACCTGCCTTACCTAGGACATTACTGTAGTACCCATCCAATTCATCTTGCCAAAACTTCAAGAAAAATGAATCCATGTAAAGGTAAAAGAGGAAGTTCTGTAGTCTTTCCACAAAGGACATGCGGTCTGTCAGCTCCACTGTGCTAGCAGGCACGTAAGAAGGTGGGGATGGGAGCCCACCACAAAGCCGCTCTGCCACGTTCCCAGCAGAGAAGCGGATGCTGTAGACAAAGGGGATTTCAAGGATTTCTGCTACAAGCTCACCACCTATAGCCAGGGGGTCAGCAATCAGAACATCAAACTTGGCCTGCTGCAGCTTTGCTATCAGCTGAGGATTCATCACCAAGGTGTCACAGGTCTGCTTTGACATATTGGTAAAGACCTCCAGGTCCTCTTTCATCTTCCACATGATCTGCCAGGGGGAGAGACTAGGCATCTCATTCATCCAGAAATAGAGGAAGTCTTCCATGACGGTATCCAGGGTCTTCTGGGTAAAAGGGACTTGCAAGACCTCAAAGGTGAAGGGGGAGGAGGTGTCATGGTAGTCGATGAGCAGATTGCTTGAGGGCACCAGCACGGTCACTTCATGACCCCGGAGAACGAGCTCTTCCAGCAGCACTTTCACATTGATCCAGTGACTTGCATCGGTGGGCCAGACCACCACCTTCCCACAAAAGCCAGTGCTCCAGCAGCACGCGTAGGCCCAGAGCAGCCAGGGGAACCTTGACCCCATCATCTCAGCAGTCCAGGTGCAGAGCTCCGGTCTGAACCAAGCTGGAAGCAGCTTACTGCTCCGGTGTGCAAACACTTCAGAGCCAGCCAATCAAAGGCAGATCCACTTGGCACCAGGGTTGGCAAGAGGGCACGTCAGAACACAAACCAACGCTCATGGGAGGACTGGGCGAGCAGCAAATCCTGTCCTGGAGCCTCCTGCAGAACCACAGCTGTTCTTGAAGTGATGGCAACTCCCGTTTCTGCTCACCACAAAGTGCTTTTTGCAGCGTGCGAGGACCAGAAGCCCTTTCCCCGTGTCGGGCTTTAATCTTGATGGGCAGCTATGCACCCCAGAGCCTCTCGCCTCCCCCCCCGGTTGGAGGGGAAAAGAATCAGAAGGGTGTGAGTCAGAATACTCACGGGCTGAGACAGAGACAGCTTCATGAGTAAAAGCCAAAAATAAAACCAAAAAAAAAAAAAAAAAGCCAACAAAAAAAAAAAAAAAACCAAACAAACAAGCGACGCAATAAGGAAATTGCTCAACACCAGCCAGTCCCTGAGCAACAGCAGCCCTGGAAAACTCTCCCTCCCCACCCTCCCACCCCCCCCTGCAGCTTCTTTTGGGAGCACATCACATGCTATTTAAGAAACCTATCTAAGAAACGTATAGACATGGTGCTTCAGGGCATGCTCTAGTGCCTGAGATGGTTGGTTTGTGTCTGTTTGCGGGGGGGTGGTGGTGTTTGTTTGTCTGTATGGTCTTTTTGTTTTGGTTTTTGTGTTTTGGTTTTTTTTTTGGTGGTGGGACTGTTTAGTATGAGGAAGAGGAGGCTGAGGGGAGACCTCATCACTCTCTACAACTACTTGAAAGGACACTGTAAAGAGGTTGGTGCTGGTCTCTTCTCACAGGTAATTAGCGATACAACAAGAGGGAATGGCTTCAAGCTGCAACAGGGTAGGTTTAGACTGAACATTAGGAAATAATTCTTCACAGAAAGAGTGGTCGGGCATTGGAATAGGCTGCCCAGGGAGGGGGTGGAGTCACCATCCCTGGATGTGTTTAAGGGACATTTAAATGCGGTACTGAGGGATATGGTGTAGGGGAGGACTTTGTAGAGTAGGGTAGATGGTTGGACTTGATGATCCCAAGGGTCTCTTCCAACCTGAATGATTCTATGATTCTATAAGGTGAGGCTCAACAAGGCCCTGGGCAAACTGGTCTAGTTGGGGGTGTCCCTGCTGACTGCGGGGAGGTCAGACTAGATGACCTTTGGAGGTCCCTTCCGGCCTGGACAACTCTATGACTATGACAGCGTGATCTCAAAGGTCCCTTTCCAACCATGAAGCTTCCTTGATTCTGTGGTTCTGTGGATATGGCTTTGGTCAGTGGGATCAGCCGTCCCCCAACCGCGTTCCCCCCCAACTCGTGCACCCCCAGCCTGCTCGCTGGGAGGAGCAGGGCGAGAAGCAGAAAAAGCCTTGATGCTGTGTAACAAACCTGCTTGCTAACAACCAAAGCATCCCTGTGTTACCAACGCTGCTTTGGGCACAAATCCAAAATACAGCCCCCTGCAAGCTGCTACGAAGAACATGAATTCTATTCCAGCCAAAATCAGTATCCCCTCATACCAGATCTTCAAGGTGAAGATCCACATTCCCGTACCAAGCAGGAGCTCAGCCTGGGGAAAGCATACAAGCAGCCCCATGAGACATTTCTGACAACTAGAAGGTGAGCTCCATCTATGACTTGACTACAGCCTTGATTTGTATCTTTGCCCTCTAAGAACCGACCTACCTGTAAAGCTGGTTACAGGTTTTTATCTCCTTCTTTACTTGGTGCAAAATGTCCTGCAGGCATCCACAACTAGCCCTGGTTCTGTCCTGTCTATAACCAGATGCTGTGGACACACAACACTGCCACTGGAAGGACACAGTCCTGGTGGAGATGACTCCAGCATCAGGCCACCTCAGGAGAGAAACAGGAGGAGGTGAGGAGCGTAGGTTTTGCTCACCTTGCTGCTTTTGTGCCTTCTCTTGGGAGGATGCTGTGTCTCCGTAGCCTGTAGTCCAGGACAGATGATGCCAAGAACAAAGAGACCTGGCTTCTTCTCTTGACTGTATCCTGCAGATCTAGTGGAGGTGCTTGGTGATGCTGATGTGTTGAGGGAAAAGAACACACAGCTTCTCTCTCCTGAGCAGAGGGTGAATGAGGCTGAGATTGAGTCTGAAGAGGGCCTCAACGCTCCTCCAGGAGCTCAGCACCACCACATGAGCTCCCCTCAGTAGATTGACAGGGGAGCCAGCAGTCTTTCATCATGCTTCAACCTCATCACTTGAAAAAAGCCTTTAAGTAGCTCTAGGAACGCAGCTGGTTTAATAAGAACCCTGAAGAGTTTCCAAGGAGAAAGAGAGGGTGAATGCACACGCTGCAGGAGCTGGGACATTGCCCCATCTCCAGGAGATGCTGGCCCCTTCCTTTCACACCTCCTGCAGGGCTGATACACTCCAGACCAAAGCATACCGGAATCAGGGCAGAGAACAGTCGAGCTAACAGAGCTAACAGAACAGGTATTGCACATGGAGCCTTAAATGTTAAACTCCACATTTAACAATAAAAAAGAAACACAAAATCCAAGCAATTCTGGGGCGTACACAACAGGAGATCAGCAAACTATGCTTCTGCCAGCAAAAGGTCTTCTAGTCTCCCTCAAACATGACAAGCAACACCAGTAAACACACAGCTAGGTGTTCTAATAGCAGGATACCTTAACAACTTAGCTCTCTTAGCAGAATTACACCCTACTAGTGAAATAAAACCACTTAGAGAGGCTCATATTGAAATAATATCTATATTATCTGCCCACCAGCAATACAATGCCTTGTTCCCTTTTAATTGTTACAATAACCACTTAGAGCAAAGATGTGAAAATAATGATGCAACTATTGTTTAAAAAAGAAAAAAAAAATTATAAATAAGTGCAACTATCTCCTGATACTTCTTTTAGATGCTTCCAGAAAAGCAAAGAACCCTGTCTCTGCTGAGGGCCTTTTATCACTGCAGAATGGGGCTCAGCTGCTCTCCCAAGCCTTTAAAAGACCACAGGAGGCCATTAGCCTGGTTTTGAGATAAGCTGGTGAGCAAGAAGGCTGCCAGGGCAAACAGAGGTAGGATTGTTGTGCAGCTTTCCAAACCATTTTTTACTTCTACTTCAAAAGGTTTAAATGTAGTAGTGTTCAGTGGGGTTTTGGTACTATTTTGCTGTTCTTAGTGTTTGCCCTGATTTGTCTGTGGGTATGACTGGTGAGGTCTGTTCCAAGTGGCTTTAGCAGTGTTGACCTGTCCTAGAAGTACCTGTAGCTGCAGACTGGTGTAGCAGGTCAGGGTTAAGAGGTAACCTTGGCACTTGCCTGGATTGTTTGACTTAACACAGGAATTCTGGAGGAAGGAGAGCGAGTTTGGGGGCTGTCTTGCTCCTCATTTCTGCCTTAACCTCTAAGCTTGTGGGTATTGTGTGTAACAGCAGATGTAATTTCTGGAAAAGAAGCCTTACCTAAAACATCACTGTAGTATTGATCCCAGCTTCCCAATAAAAAGTAATGGTATAAGATATCCATCGTGGTGTAGGTGAAGACGTTTTTTAGCCTTTCCAGGAAGGACATCCGATCTGTCAGGCAGCTTACAGTGGCTGGTACGTAGGAAGGAGGTGCTGGGAGACCCCCACAGAGCCGCTCTATCGTATTCCCCATGGAGAACCGGATGGTGTACACGAAGGGGACACCCAGCTTCTCAGCAAACAGCTCCCCACTGAGTGCCAGGGGATCTGCCAGGAGGACATCGAAGGTGGATGCCCTCAGTCTCTCCATCAGCGCCTCGTTCTTCAGGACTTCATTCGAAATGATTCTGGTTATGTTCTCCAGCTTGTGCGTGAATTGAGCTACCTTGTGAAAACTTTCCCAGACGGGTAGCACTCTCTCCTCGTAAAGCCAAAAATAGAAAGCTTCCTCCAGGAAGGCAGCCATCTCTGTTTTTGTGATCGGCACCTCGACCACCTCGAACTGGAAGGGTGAGGGCTGCGTAGGGTCGAGGATGAGGAAGCACGAAGGCAGCAGCACGGTCACCTCGTGGCCCCGCACCACAAGCTCCTGGAGTATGTACTTCATGTTCAGCCAGTGGCTGTTGTCAGCCGGCCAGACCAACACCTTCCCCCCGGACCCCCAACCCAACACGGCCAGCAGCCACAGCACTGCCACCTCCTTCCCAGCCATACCCTGTCCTGCCTGGCAATGTCCCCCTCGACTTCCTTCCTTCACCCCCCGCGCTGAGCTGAGCTGAGCTGGGCTGGGCGTGGGTGACTCTGCCTTGCTCCAGAGGGCAGGGAGCCAAGGTAGCTGGTGTGAAATCCTGTCCTGGATAATGGGCTGTTTTTCCTGGGGGAAGAAGGTGACTGGGTCCATCTGGCACCATCTGGTGGTAAATAGCTTGCTGAAGCTGGAAGATGGACTCCTCCTGGAGCAATGGGGAGAGCTGTCAGTCCTGGGGGGCTCACTCCACTGAGGATTGTGTCCTGTTGGGCATCCTGGCTCTCTAACTACAGTCTCTATGTTATTCGGTAGAAGAGGGCACTTTTTCATTCTTCTGCCTCTCTGAAGAGCAGCTGGGTATGGAGTGAAGATGTTCACCCACTGTGTGGTCACCCTTTTGCTTCCTAAAACCACTGAGCATCTGTTCGCAGTGCACTTGAGGTGGTGATCCAGGGCTGCAGCTAAAAAGTTGTGTCTTAAAGTGGATGTAACTACACAGCAAGAGATTCCAGTGTCAGAGTAAGGCTGTCCTCGTGTGAACTTGCCTCTTCCCAAGCATTCATCGTGGGAGGCCAGAGCTGGTAGGTGATGGGGTGGGCTGTCCTGCCTGCCACTAGGTGCCAATTATGCACTATAAATTGAACCAGAAAGTCTGTTAAACGGTTTTATTTACGGTCACCCTTCTGATGTGCAATTAGGAAATCTTCCCTGTGCTAAAAATCATTACCGGGCTCCCGCCCAGCTCTGTTACGCAATGTTTTCCTAATGCTGTTGTGCAAGATTCTGCTGCAGCTTCCACGCTGCTTAGGGCATCCTTTCCGGTGTGAAAATGAGGGTGGTGAAAGCACTTGGGTTGTGAATAGCTGAGCTGAGATACCAAACTGTTGTCATACGCACAGCAGAGGAGGTGTACTTGTGCAATCCTGCAGCGTGCAGCTATTTGCAGGCCATCGAACCCTGAGAGATCTGCAGGCACTCTTTTCCATGAGTTCAAGGTGAGGTTAGTCAAAATAGCCTGTTGATAACGTATGATTAATACTTAAATAAACATCTTTTTCTACATATTCACTATTAAGTAGTCCGGAAATTCCGGCATGAAAATGAGG